TTTATGTGAACTGGTGATGTTAGGCCATAAGCTGTAATTACTCTTGCAAGGCGAGAAGTATGAAGTTCTGTTATTAGATTTATGCTAGCAACAGGAATACCAATTCTTCGGCAAGCTTCTTGTAGGTGTTCAATATTGATTTTGTCAAAAGCTTTTGACATGTCCTGAAACAATATCCAAGCTTCTTTATTGTGAGCAATATGTATTAGTTATTGCCCGCTTCGGCTGCAATAACTGATTTATTCCATAGTTCAATTATACTTCTATACTATTTCTTCAATAGATGATGTAACTGATAAGTGCAATTTAAATACAAAAAAAAAAAATTGATTAAACAAAAAACTCTTTCCCAATGTCTTCGTCAAACAATCTTGAATCAGCTCATGAACTAGAACATAATACATCTAATGAATCTAATAATATAACTGTAGATAATATTCAACGTTATATTAAAAAATCTAAAATCCAAAATACTGATGCCTATACACAAAAATGGGTTCGAAGTTTACAAGAATATCGTAAAAAAAAATATATTTCTTATGATATTCAAACACTTAATGATAAAAACCAGCTTAAACAAGAATTGTGAGAATTCTTTGCAGATATGAAACGTCAAGATGGAAAATCATATAAACCAGAATCAATTGTATCTGCTTATACCTCACTTCGTCGTTACTTGTTTGAAGGTTCTGCAATTAAGAATGTAAATATCAATGATAGATTTCAATTTCCTGTATTATATCGTGTTGTAGATGGAAAAATTATAGAATTACAAGATCAAGAATTAGGGAATATTGACCAATCAAAAGGTCTAACTACAGAAGAAATTCGTCAGATCATGTCATATCTTAAATCTGGTAAACAAACGGCATTAAAACTTACTTGAAAAGTTTTTTTCTGGAATGCATACTTGCTTGGACTTCGTGGTGATGATCACTATCGACTTTTATTAAGCTGTTTTGATTTTCAATCAGATAGAAGTTTAATTTTTATAATTGGGCGTGAGAAAAATAATCAAGATGGATTAAAAGGTCGAAGCAAATATGGAAGATTTACTAGCCGTCGTATTCATATTTTTGCTGATCAGCCTAATAATGAATTTAAGCCAGTTCAAGATCTTTATAATTATGTTAGTTTGTATCCATTAGATGCATGTGAATATTTTTATTTGCAATTAACAAGGAATGCTCAGAAAATTAATAATAGAAACTAGTTTAGTAAAGATAAATTAAGAAAAAATACCTTAGGTAATATGATGAAAGAAATTGCACGTGCTTCTGGTATTAATGTTGATGATCAAAGAATTACTAATCATTTAGGAAGAATAACCGCTATTCAACTTTTATCAGATCTTAATGTCAATGAGCATAAAATGATGCAATTTTCAGGTTACCGCTCAACTAATGGACTATGTACTTATAAAAATCCTAATAATTAACAACGGCTTAAAAATTCTACTTTGTTACTTAATGCAATTCAAGAATCTCCAATTATACAACAAGAATCTCAAATTATACATCAAGAATCTCAAGTTATGCAACATGAATCTCAAGTTATGCAACAAGAATCTCCAGTTATACAAGATTTTCAAATT